GTGGGTTAAGCCACTGCCTTCGGCTCAGGTCATGATCTCAGGGTCCTGGGATCGAGCCCTGCATCAGGCTCTCTGCTCAGCAGGGAGCCTGCTTCCTCCTCTCTCTCTCTCTACCTGCCTCTCTGCCTGCTTGTGATCTCTCTCTGTCAAATAAATAAATAAAATCTTTAAAAAAAAAAAAAGTAGTTTTGTTCAAAGCAACATTCTTACACTTTTTAAATTTCCTTAGGAATAATTATATAAAAGCATTTGTGGGTGCACCTGGGTGTTTCAGTAAGTTAAGTGTCTGCCTTCAGTTCAGGTCATGATCCCAGGGTCCTGGGATCAAGTCCCACATAGGGCTCCCTGCTCCACAAGGAGCCTGCTTCTCCCTCTGCCCTCTGCCACTCCCCCTGCTTGTGCTCGCTCGCTGTCAAATAAATAAATAAAAATCTTAAAAAAAAAAAAAAGCATTTGACAATTACAGGTTTGTTTCTCACATAATGGGAACTATGTCTATATGGTGTCATAAGTTACCGGTAATAAACTGTTACAATATTATAGATCATTTCAGCATAGGTAGAATAAGCTGCAGAAATGAATAAATATGTAATTATAGATTCCACCTGCCAACAATTATGAAGAGTCAACAGTATGGGCATGAGGTGATAAGGACCTGGTGGAAGGCAATGGCAATGCACAGAGAGAGAAGGACGAAATTGACATTTTTAGGGAGAAAACAACCAATTTTCTGAATGATCAATTATAAAGTCAGAGAACTTGGGAACCAATAACTCATTTAGTAAAGAAATGATAGTGACTTTGGCTTGGATATGTTGAAGGTTTTTTTTTTTTTTAATGATTTTTAAAAGTTTGTTTATTTTCCGGAGAGAGAGAGAGAATACAAGTGGGGGCTGGGAGTGGGGGAGCAGCAGGCAGAGGGAGAAACAGGATTCCTGCTGAGCAAGGAGCCCAATACAGGACTCAAAACTAGGCCCCTGGGATCATGACTTGAACCAAAGGCAGACACTTAACCAAATGAGCCACCCAGGTGTCCCTGGATATACTGAGTTTAAATGTGGAATCAGACTGTCAGAACTTGGAAGGAATCATAAATATCTTTTGCTCCAAGTGACTGTTCAGTATATTTTCCCTATAATTTTCTTCACCAAGCTGTATTCTGATCAGCAGCTGTCATATTTTCCCCATATTATAAACCAATCAAAGATGAAAAATCAGGCAAGTAAGGCCTATGAAACCAATACAAACACAAAGAATTTTATTCACCACTTCTGAACACTGTGCCAGGCACTACTTTAACCACTTCACCACACAATACTTCAAGAAGGCTGGTACTATATAGATACTACATAGTTTCTATGTGCTAGATTGTAAAGGTGAAATGTTTTTAGCACACTGTAATAACCCAGTAAATGTTAATTATGAAGATGTTGGTGGCAGTGCCAGTAATCAATTTGTTTTAAAATTTCAATGACCAAATTTATTTCTGTCTTAATCAAGGCTGTTCTAGTTTGTACCTCTCCCCACCTCCAGTTTATGCCTTTAAAAATAGAGATCCCTTTCATTCTCAAAAAGGTGTGAGCTTAGCAGACAATTTAGTCACATTAGTTGAACTCATTTCAAATGTCAGTGTCTCTACAAAGACTTTCTCTGCTTTGCAAGACAGAAATAATGTGTTCTCACAGCATTTTTTTATACTTTTGTTAATACTCATCATATTTTAACCCGGGAACACAAATGTGTTCCCATTAAATTTGACTTTTTAGACAACCAGGGCTGTGTCTTACTCATCAGGCACTTGCACAGGACCAGATTTAAAATAGTCAGCAAATGTCTATTTATTTATGATTGAGGGCCAAGGACAAGTTACTCTACTGGACATAGATTCACACATACTCCAGAATCCAAGGATGTTCAGTTACAAAACGGTTAACTGAGATTACGAGGGTGGTATGCAGCTGAGAAATATATCTGTCCCATTTGGGGACTACCTGTGACCACAGCCCCATTAAGAGAATATACTACTAAGTCAAGTACCACCCTAGTCCCAACTACCTCCAAATTTCCTTGCATTACACAAATGACCTCCTAATTGTTCTCCCTAATGCCACCCTTACCCTCTTACACTGTTCTTAGCAGACAAGCTGATCCTTAAAAACAGAAAGTCAGATTATGTTCATCCCCTTTGGACAAAACCCTCCAGTGGCTCTCCATTTTAGTCAGTTAGAAAGCCAAAGATCTTATTATCATGGCTTGCAATCAACTCACCAATTTCTCTGACCTTATCTCCTTCGCAACTTCTCTCACTCTGCTTCAGCCACACTGACCTTACTTTTCTTCTAACACACCAGAAACGCCCCACCTTAAAGCCTTTGCAATGACTGAACCAAATCTAAGTAAAACACCGTGAAAGGTAAATATCTGAAAACACTCTGATGGAGTAAATGTTCCTTTTTTATTCGGTAAAGGGAACATGTTGACATAGCCAAAGTACAGCTTTCTATCAGCAAGTAATTAACTTAGGCACGCTGAAACTCTCTGAAAAACAAACATAAAAACACTGCAGAAATGGTGAAGATCATTGGACATTCTGGGTAAATATAAATGAGAATATATTTCTATTTCTAATATATCTCTATATATTTCTAGAGTCCAATTTGGTTAATATAGAAAAAGGCATCTCAAAACACTTCCCTTTAATAATCAGGTGTAAACAAACAAAAATAACTCTAGGTAAAAACGATTAGGAACTATTACAGTTAGACAACTTTTGAGGAAAGCCCTTTTTCTTTAAACTGCTGGGGGGTGAGAGGTCTCGCATCTAGGTACAAAATTTCTTATTTCCTTGAAAGAAAAGTACACAAGTTTCAAATGGAAATAAATGCAGGTTAAGAGTTTCATACAAGGCCAAGAAGTTTTGTGGGAGCCATCACAACAGCAAAAAAAGATATTCATGGGCACTCTCTCTGTCTCATAAATTTTTCTCACTCTCATAAAAGGTTACTTCCAATCTGGAGGAACCTGGACAGTTTGGAACTAAGTTCTCAAGCTTCACATTGTATTTTAACCGCCCTTCGTTCACTCTTTGGAATCCCAGAGCACAATTCCTAGACTTTTTTTTTTTTTCCAAATTCACTGAAAAAGATGTGTGTACGTGTGCTGAGAAGAGAATGTACGGCCTAACTGGAACGAAAATCAAGTAGCTAAGGAACTGTGCCTCCCTGTATTTATTCACTGATTCAACAAATACCTGAGTACCTTTACAATTCAGCTGTGAAAAAGGACCGATCCCTGCTCTCAGTAACTGTTGGGTGCTCGATGGAAGGTACTGCAGACTCAAAAATAAAACTTACAGAAGAAAAGCTTAGGGATTCATGCCCAAGGACATGAGGGGCGCAGGGTCAGGAATAAGGCAGCTCCCACGCGTCGTCCCATGAGATGAACCAAATCACGTCATCCCACCCAAAGGATGCTACCCAAAGGTCGTCCCTTCACCCGGACAGAACTGTCCCAGTCTCGCTGAAGAGATATATGTCTCCAACAATACTGCAGGTCTGAGGGCTCGAAGCCCAGAGCTTCTTCCAACCCCTCCGTTTTGAAGCTTCTAAGAGACCCCTGAGGAGCCGGGGAAAACGATTTTTCGCCACATTAGAGCCTTGGGCTGTCCACAGAAACCACTCATAAGCGCCTGAGAGTCCTCACAAAAGATCCTGCATTTGCCCCCACCACGAGCTATAAACCCCCAAACGAGGCCGCGGCCAAGCAGGAAACAAAGGATAACATTGTACCTCGAATATCCACCGCCGCCATAGTTCTAAAAGCGCTCGCAGGTTCTCCTTCCGGCGTGCAGTAAACGTCACAACTCCGACGACGGAAGCGGCGCGCGGCGAACCGCAGGGCGGGTCAGGAAGGTGAGGAAGGGAAGAGACCGCACCGCCTGGGAGCTGCCTGGGAAAAGGGTGGGGCGGGTAGCCAGGGCGTGGGAGAGGGGGCGGGGCCGGGAGGAGGAGGGAGCGGAGAGGAGTGGGGCGGGGAGGGGAGGGGAGGCGGGTCTGGGAAAGAGAGGGGCGGGGCGGGCTGGGAGGTGAACAGGAAGCGAAGAGGTTACGGTAGTGGCTGCGAGGTGGGGAAAGGGGCGGGGCCAGAAGGACGGAGCGGGGCTGGGAGGTGGAGGGGAAGAGGCTGGGAGTGAGCATTAGGGGTAAAAGAAAATGTGGAGACTGAGGAAAGAGACTGAGCGGAGTCCTGCCCCTTTTCCCTCTCCCACCACTGAGAGATTGGAGAATTGCACGTTGATCTTTTGTGATCGTTAAAAAAAAAAAAAAGGAAAAAAAAAGCTTTCTGATTATGCAGAGTTGCGGGGGAATATCTTCCATTTTGAAAGCTTCCTCAGGTGTATCCAAAGGGCTGTTAGATTTAGGAGCTACTCTGTTCTGTTTTTCGTCCTGCCTCAAGAATGGGATGCTACAGAACTAAGCAGAAACAATTTGAGAGCCGTTAGCTTTTAAGTGACTAAACCCATTAAAAGTCTAAGCCCATTAAAGAAAGTTGTTAGATGCCTCTGAGATAAAAGTTTCGCAAGACAGGAAATGTTTCTGAAGTAAGATATTGACAAGATTAAAGGAATGGGAACACCTCTGCGTCCCTGATTAATGATTTAGTGTCGGCATTTCAGGTAGTCTGGGGTAGGAAGCAAGCCGGCAGAGGGAATAATTCTGTGATATGGGGAGACCATAGAAAGCCCCAGAAAGATTCTCGAGCTCCAGCGTGACCCCATAAAAGCAAAATGATGAGGGTATCTACAAGCAAGACACTGACACTGAGAAGAGAAGCTCCAAATCTGAGGGCGCCCTGTGTATACGGAGGAGGTGTGGGCGCCTACATCTTCTCCAAAACTCAGATATTATGAGGGTTCCCCCAGAATTTAACCACAAACCAGGAGCAAATGGGGAGGACCTGAATTTACTGTGATTTTTCACTTCATATACTGGGAATTCAAATTTTTAAAATCTGAGTGGAATAAAAATATACTGTGTTGCTTTGTCACATTTCAGTTTTTAAGTGGGATTTTATACCTGTGTCCCAACAGAAGTATGCACGTGCACAGAGCAGAGTTTTAAAAAGACAGATTTTTCCCCCTTCCACGAGGAAATTTTCAAGAGGGACTGGTAGGGGGCTTGGTGGAGAGGGCATTTCAAACAGGGGGAACATCATGTCCAACAAACAGAAGTGTGAAACGTTAAGCTTTTTGTTTTGTTCGTTTTATTTATTTATTTGGATTTTTATTAGGAGAGCAGATTGAGGAAAAGAGCACCAGAACATGGATCTGCAGATAATAAAACATATGATAATCATGGTAAGCCAGACATGAAAGCTCAGCCTTTATCTTGTCGACAGTGGGAGAAATGCAATTGGGCTTCCATCTTAAAATACTCAAGGAGTATGAGTTGGAGGCATTTATAAGACTCAAAGCAGAGAGTCCATTTAGGAGACATTTGCAAACTAAATGATGTCTACACTCACACAAAGGCAGTAGTAGCTGAGGGAAGAGAAAGGATTACAGATATTTAGGAGATAGAATGGGAAGGGATTTAGTGACTAACAGATGAGCATGATGAGGGAGAAAGAGAATGATTTCCAAGGTACTGATTTATTAGACTAGATGCCATTAATCAGATTAGGAATGACAGGTAACAAGTGAGTAGATGAAAAAAGGGATAATGATTTATTTTTTAACATGTCCATGTCAAGTGTTGTACATGAAGTCTCTCCAAGACGTTCTGTACACTAGGGTTTCTCAGCCTTTGCACTGTTGACATTTCGGGCCAGATAATTCTTTGCTGGATGTATGGAGAGCTGTCCTATGGTTTGTAGGATGGTTAGCAGCATCCCTACCTTCTAGTTTTTTCCTGGCTCCTCGGGGGTCTCTTAGAAGCTTAAAGGGGCAGGAAGAAGCTCTGGGCTACAGTATTGTTCTACAAATATATCTCTACAACAATGTTGGGGCTGTTCTATCTGGATGAAGGGATAGCCTTTGGGAAGAGAGGGGCTGAGATGACATGACTGGGTTTATCTCTTGGGACTGGGCATGGAAGCTGCCTTACTCCTGATACTGTGCCCCACAAATTCCTGGGCATGATTATGAAATGGAAATGGATTTATGCGAAGTGACAAGAAAACTCCATAAATCTCTCTTGATATTAGAACAATGTAGACCAACTACTTCATTTATGCTAATGTTCTGGAAATCCACAGAATAAAAAGATAAATACATCATAATGTTTTGTACGGGTATCCTACAAGAAAAGGGTTCTAACAAGTATGAAATGTATGGGTTTTTTTCTCTCACTCTCTTATTTAGTGAGGAAAAAGCCAGCTACTTCATAATATAGACCAGGACAGAAAATTATCTCAGAATTCCTTAGGAAGTATTGAAAAGTTACCTTGGAACCCCTGAGAGTGGCCCTGATGGTCCAGGGAGAGATATGGTACCAAATATTTTGTTGTTTAAGGGTTATAAGAAAATCTACACCACCGTTTGTGGCAAAGACCAAAACTTGGCGTGGGTTAGTACCTCTGAAGGCAGCAATTCAAAAAAATCTGAATAGTAAGAATTCAATCCTAGAATCCCAAACATAGAGCACAGGTTAGCTTAACACAGAAGAAACAGAATCCTTGGGATGCCTGGGTGGTTCAGTTGATTAAGCGACTGCCTTCTGCTCAGGTCAGGATCCCAGAGTCCTGGGATTAAGTCCGGCATCCACTTTGGGCTCCTTGCTCAGTAGGGAGCCTGCTTCTCCCTCTGCCTACAGCTCACCCTGTGCGTGTTCTCTCTCTCTCTCTGACAAATAAATAAAATCTTAGAAAGAAAAAAAAGAGAAGAAAGAAAGAAAGAATCCCTCCAAGAACCTCTTCTTGGATTCGTATTCTCATTGCAGGACGGTGGCCACGTATCCATGAGATTGTGTAGCAGTAAACCTCGTAACACTCCATGAGTCATCAAAAAGAAATAGCAAAGCTGGACTAAATTGATCAAATTCCAGTATGACATTCAAAGACAGCTAACAATTCTCACACCCTTAAGGTTGAGTATGCCCCTGAGACATCTGGCTAATTCTGGAGTGAAGCACAGGAAGTATCCCAAGGAAGATCATTGACTGATGACTGATATGGCAAGGAGGGCCCCAAAGGTGATGCTGAAAGTCAAACTGCTAAATCTCCAGTGACAATCCCAGCAAATTTTGGGAGGGGGATGGTTGTGGCAATAGCTTGGATATCTGCTGGTAGATCTGGCTTTATTCTTAGGGTCCTTCAAATAAAGGATTAGATGCCTTCCTAAACAAGATTACAGGGAAGAAGAAAATAATAATTCCTAGATCTTTTTCTTTTAAGACTTTATTTATTTATTTATTTGACAGAGAGAGAGAGAGAGACAGTGAGAGAAGGAACCCAAGCAGGGGGAGTGGGAGAGGGAGAAGCAGGCTTCCCGCCAAGCAGGGAGCCCGATGAGGGGCTCCATCCCAGGACCCCGGGATAATGACGTGAGTCAAAGGCACACGCTCAATGACTCAGCCAGCCAGGTGCCCCCCGTTATTCCTAGATCTTATTAGTAATGAAATTGCTCATAGTGTTCTCATATTATCTTTTTAACTAGGCTATTTCAGCACATATGTCCCCATTTCTAGCCAATTATTTTTTTTCTGTTCTCATTATTAATATCACAAAGGTTTATCTAATTTGTATTTTTTTAAAGAAAAGTTTTTAGTTTGATTGACTCACTCTATGCTGTCTTTTTGTATTTCACTTATTTCTGCTTATATATATATATTTTTTTTTAAAGATCTTATTTATTTATTTGATAGACAGAGATCACAAGTAGGCAGAGAGGCAGGTAGAGAGAGAGAAGAGGAAGCAGGCTCCCTGCCGAGCAGAGAGCCTGATGCAGGGCTCGATCCCAGGACCCTGGGATCATGACCTGAGCCGAAGGTAGAGGCTTTAACCCACAGAGCCACCCAGGGGCCCCTTCTGCTTATATTTTTATTCTTTTTATTTTCTTTGGCTTTATTCTGTCAATCTTTTCCTAATTTACTGAGAAAAACATTTAGCTCATTAATTTTCAGGCTCTATCCATTTCTTAAATAAGCATGCAAGGCTATAAATTTTCCTTGGAGAAACATTTTCATTGTATACCTCAAGATTTGATATATAGTGTTTCATTATCATTTCCTTTAAGCATTCATTAAGTTCTAATTCAATTTATTCTTTGACATATCAGTTTACTTATAAGTGTGTTTTCAACTTCCAACTACATAGAATTTCTAACCTATCTTCTTGTTATTTACTTCTAACTTAATTGTATTATTTTCAAAGAATGTGTTCTACATAATACTTGTTCTTTAATATTTGTTTAGACTCGCTTTATGCCTTATATGAATCATGTGTGCTGAAGAAGGGTATGTATCTGGGACACCTGGGTCGCTCAGTCGGTTAAGTGTCTGCCTTTGGCTCAGGTCATGATCCCAGGGTCCTGGGACTGAGCCCCGCATCCATCCTGCTTCCTGCTCAGTGGGGATCCTCTGCTGCTCCCTCTGTTTGCCACCCCCTGCTTGTGCTGTCTCTCTTTCTCTGACAAATAAATAAATAAATAAATAAATAAATAAATAAACAAACTCTAAGGGGGGAAAAAAAAGAAGGATATGTATCCTTTAAGTGTTGGATACGGAATCTGGAAGCATGAAATACTCCAGCTTCTCAAAATTGTCTTTCTTGATCTCCATGCCATGACCTGCTTCTAGTATCTTGCTGCTTATCAGACCATTCCTTTTCTATCTCTTACATTGGCTTCTCTTCCTTTGTTTTACCTA